AAGAATACAAGCGTACAAGGTCACAGTCCACAGGAAAGTAATGAAGAGTAATGGAGTAGTGATATGGCTGTCTTTAGCACAGTTAAACAAACGAGCACAGTACAACAATCACTGGTACAATTGGTTATAATGTTGATTGTTTCCACTACATCCATCGCGTTCTCTTGATAAAAGTAGGTCACTACACACTCTTAATGCAAGAAGTACATTCAGTCATGCTTTAATATTGAGTACGGTCATATAATTCAGCTTCCCTTAAAGTCACCTCAGTATCTGGACAACTGAAGAAGGTTTAGATTTCATTGGTAACGGCAACTACTTGTATGAGTATGTTTTTATGGAGTCAGTGGGTGCACGGTATTATGACTAGGGTAAATTACAGGAAAACGAAATGCTCACTTGTATATTGAGGGTCTATATATAGTGTCATACCTTTCATGTTGCTTCGGCTGAAAGTTTATTCCCAAAGCTTTGCAGTATTCTCCTGCTGTGTGTACTCATAGTTTGCATACTGTGCAAAAACTCGATCGTCTCGGGAAAGCGACTAGTTTGGTTGCCGTTAGATTTGAAGTTGGTGCCAAATCCAATCGTATACAGAGTCCTAATAAATTAGCTTCTGGTAATATTAAAATTTCAGTACATGCATCACCTACTTATAAAATTCCGACGTCTCAAAAAAGCAAGCGACATTTACCAGTATGCGCAGCGGTATGTACTTACTTTTCTGTGAGTTCATTTCCAGGAGATTAATTCAACTTCATAAGCAAAGAGCATATAATTTCGCGTTCCATACTCAATATATAAGACTTTGTTAGCAGCAAACCTCCGTCAGTGATACTCACAACAGGTCATTTCTTCAGCTGAAGATGCTGTGACCTAACTATTTTGTTGGTGGAATTACTCAAGGTTAAAGCATGAGCTTTACGTGCAGGTCCCCACATTTCTCTGCAGTACAATCAGTATCTTATAAGACAGTGTTGGGCATACCTGATATTACATGTAAATAATAGGTAAAGCAGTACAATGAGAATGATTTACAGCTTACTGTGTAACGTGTTCAGTTAGCACTGACAGACAAAAATAAGATTCTACCAAGAAGTCTCGTGACTGCTTACGACCGTTTAAATGCATATCAAGTTACGCTTACCTTCTTAAGAAATTTCCGGCAAATATGGAAATTTCCAAGTATTATGTTGATATATCTGTATGTTAGGCTAACAGCCATTATCTCTGCTCGAACACAACCCATCACGACTCTGTCGGTACGTTATGTATCTCATAATTTTACTGAATATATTTTATATCCGTATGACATCAACCGTCTCTTCTTTTTTCACCCATAAAAGCACAATATGATGTTCATGTACATAGTTACCCGTTACAGCAAGCTGGAACAATCAGTATTTATGTCTATGTTTATAAAGTAGCTTTCTTATCTTACCTCACTGGTGTTGTATGTGGAAACGATGCAAATCACTTCCAGATATTTTCGACGTGGACTTCTGTGACTCAAGTGGCACTCACATCAGAGAGTAGCGTCAGAATTCATTTCAGAAATTTTAACGGTTTCATAGTCTTATCGTGTTTTGAAATCACTGAATGTAACAACAGAAAACCCATTAGAACTCGACAAAAATCGAGCGACTACAGAATTATGATCTACTTAATGTTAGTACATTTATATTTGCTACTACAATAATAGATCTTACCCTTGAATTGTAAATTTGTCATGATGTGACCACTTAATCTACAAGATATCACATGGAAGCCACATCCTTATATAAACTAACTCGTCCTATCATGACAATTAGCAGTACAACTTCGAGCAATTCTGAGGAATTCACTTGGGCTGGGAAGAGAGTAATATATTCAACACAAAAAAAACAAGAGGTTATATGGAATGACCATGCTTTCACGACTGAATCATGACGTTTCCACTAATTGTTCCCGCGTTCACCATTACTGACCTTTTCTATGTCTTAAATGTTAAATTTGACTTTTCTCAGTAATCCCATATTTAGGTTTGAAGATGTGTGGTTAGAACCAATAGCACGAAAAGACCATTTTTTACACAATGTGATTTTTATTCTGTTTCACCGTCGTTTTTTATTTGATGTGTTAATCACTCAGTATAATATTTGTTTTATGCCGGTTTGACATTCATTCAGTATAATGTTCCTTGAATTAATATTACTAGTCCCGATGACCTTGTAGTGTGGCGCCGGGTCGCGTTTAACTACGATCACCACTGCAAGAAGACTGCATATCAGAACAGGCTAAACCTCCGGGTAAACCAGAAATCAGAAGGCGACTGAAGGTTGTAGCGAGATATATTTGTTGGCGATCTCGTGGTATCGAAATAATACCGAGATCGTGCCAAAGGAGTACAAGCGGAACTACTGAGCAAACGTAGGTTCGTGCAAGGTGACAATCAACGGAAGGGAGAATGTCTTTAGTACAGTTAAACAAATAAGTACAGAAAAACAATCACTGGTACAATTGGTTATAATAATAATTGTTTCCATTACACCAACCGCGTTCTTTTGATAAAAGTAGGTCACTAAAACCTATTGATAATAGATATGAAAAAGACTTGAATAGCATTGTTATTATCATTATCATTGGTAAAGATAGAACAATCGATGACAGATCAGCTGAAGAAACTAAACCAATGTACAAGATTCCAGTTGTCACCAACACATGTAGTAGTTAAAGTAAGTATCCATTCCTACAACAGCGCTTGTACCTTGTGACGTTAGTATATTTTTTCTAACTCAAAGAAAATATAGCACTGAAAGTGGTTTTTTGTACAAATATAACTCATACAAAAATTACGACAAACTTTGACTCTTTTCTCAAGGATCTATCTTATCGTGATCATTCACTCAAAACTTAAGTGATACTTTTCTAGCAGTTAAAGATCTTCAATGCATCACTGGAACCAGTGTTTACCTCACACACTGGACCCTCGTCTCACAACATATTTTTAAGCTAATCACGTTTACCATTCATTCACACTCTGAGTTTACTTTCACAGCTTAGATTTGCCATGCATTTCTTCAAAGATAAGGAAAAAACGTTGGGATCCATTGTTACTAAATTGTGAGTACTTTTATAACCGTTAATTTGGCTTTAAGAATTATTGTGAAAATTAGTACACCGATGAATGAGTTACTGTGATTCAAGGCCTTATTAAGACTGGAAAATCGGTGTGTACCAGCTTTATTAAAAATGAATATTCGTCTTCTTCTTTTTACTAGTATCACTATTAACCTTGAGGACTCTTCATACCTAGTAAACCTATTGAATGAAGATATTAAAAAGCCATCAAACTGATAAATGATGGCCTTTTTGTAGCACTGAAAGAGGTTCATTATGATAACTGCATCTGCAAAGCCACATTACATATGGTCACCAATTGTTGAGTGTAAATCCTGTGATCCCAGTTACATTTGAAAATTGCCCGTTTACTTAATTTTACAAAATCTCCAAAGCAAATAATATTGAATATTATGGAAGTATTGATGTCTTGTGAACTTCAGGAAAAGGTCGATACATAAATCTATGTTCTTGATCATTTGGTTAAGGATGAAGTGGACAAATTCATGTTTGTAATCAGGTGATGTAATTGATGAATAAATTGTGGAAAATGAATGCATCCATTAGTTTAATTTTGTGAACTCTTAGATATAACTAGCAATGCTTGAATGGTAATAAGAACTACCAAGAGGCATACGAAATCCAAACCCGACACGACAATGAGAGCTGAAATGTTCGACTTTCGAAATATAACACAAATAGAAACAGCGAGTGCTGAAATATCTAAATCGTGTGTTTTTGAATTCCTTTTTCTGCCCACTGGTGGATTTGGGACTTTTTTTTAGCACTTCCTTTGACCTTTTTACTTTACTCTGCGTTTCGAATTTGACCTGGTTCTACTGTACCTGAGATATGATTTTCCTAAAACATCTCATAGTTAGCCTTTTCATGTCCTAATTGTTCACGTTTAGTGGTCTACCAAAGTATCTGGCTTAAGAAACTAAACTAAATTAGTTGGGATCACGTACATTTCGAGTAAGTTTCTATTCATGATAATTCTCCACTAAAATGTTTATATCATCATATAAACACTTTTACTCGAATTTTGTTCTACCGATTTCGTATGATTTGTAGCAATTTGACCTAATACAAAAGTGTTTTAATTGTCGAATTGCTTATTCGATACATTGAAATCATTATTACAGAGCAAGTGTTCCATCAACTCAATATGAAAATTTTACGAAAATCTGTCACGAGTGTATACCAAATTTATTCTAATATAATGGGTCTAAAACTACAATGGCAGCAATTTGTTGTTGTTATCAAAGATTAAACGCAACAAAAATCAAGATAAAACAAGAAATATGAAGTAATATCTAAAGTAAATGAGTCTAAATAAATGCTAGTTCTTTAATGTGGAACTTATGTTCTTCTGATCATGATGTAATCCTAGGTAAATTAAAGTCATTATTAATCAGATATGTGATTCAGGATAAAGAAACTTATTTCGAAGCACAAATGTTAAGCACAGAAAGCCAGTCAATGTCAGATTTAGGATTTTAAGACTGACTGATGATATATAAGTCATGTTAAATAGAAGTACATAAAACATTGTTGATTGTTTGACTTATTGAGCATAATTCGATCATAATTTCAGAGTCTCCATTAGACAGAGATACGAGATAAGATGTTTTCTTATTTCACGATAATTCTACTATTCTAGTTAAAAAATAAGATTTGTAGAGGGTGTAAACAGTCTACAATTGAAGTACTATCGAAAATCAAAAAACACTGGGTAAAACTGTTCCATTGTTCCATGAGATTTGATGAACATTCTGTTAGTGTAGATTTTATTCACTCATGAATAATCTTTCCTTTCTGCTATCAATGATAATATAAAGTTAAAAGAATTGGTCTTTAAAATTAACTAGTGAAAGGTTAGAAAAAAAACATAACTTATTATCTAATGATAATAACTATATTTACTGGCATAGTTTACCTTTTTTTCCAAGGAATCCATCCCAAAATAATTAATTCTTACAATTTTATTGTTTGTCTTATATCATACATGGTAAAGTATTGCATCTTACTAAAGAACATACATTTCAAATACAATTTATCCAATATTAAAACGATTACCTTTACTAAAACAGGCGTTAAGCTAGGAAACTTTAGTAAGTTTTCTTTTTATAGTGTAGGCAGGAAGACTGAAAGAGCAAATAAGATTAAGGTATAAAAAATAAAATAGAAGGAAAATTAATTATTTGTATTTCCTTTTTAAGGGTATTCATATCTATCTGTTTTGTAAAGATGTTAATCTTTCATAGTAGAGACAATTTAATCTATTTAGATAGTTAATAGATTGGGGAACAGAAAGATAGACAGAAAGGAAAATAGGGGGAAAAGGTGCGAGTAATATGGTTTATTATATGATGTAATGCCATCAGTAATAGTGTTAGCAATAATTTAATATAAATAGAAAGTTTAATATCTAAATACATCAAGCAGATGAATGAACATATTATAAAGACAGGTGATTATGGCACAGCATGTTTAATTGGAACAATGAGAAAAGAAAATGTGTATTTAGCTGTTAATTTGTAGACTTAGGACTCGCCATAAGCTTTTTGAATAGTTTGCTCAGTAGCTTGTAAATATGGTGATCGTTCATCCATACTACGATCGAATACAGAACCCGGTGCAGGACCTTGAAAATAAAATACATAAGTTTCAAAATATTTAGATAAAATTCAACAAACCATTGAAGTTTAGTAACTTGTTTGAATAAGGCCTTAAATTAATCAAATAAAATACCTATTTCAATAAACCGCTTTATAATCATTGATTAGTCTTAATATTCTCTATCCAGTACATTCATAATGGTATGGTGAGATTTCATAAATATCGGTTAATTCAAGCATATCATCTATTACTATTATCCATTCATTTACTCATTTCAACCGTCTGCATCATTAAAATTAATCGTATATAAGCTAATATAATCAGATCTATTTTTAAATAGTATAAAAATTATGCTCAAATATGACCTAACTTGCATGAAATTAAAGAACCGCGAATTCATAATTATTATCATTATTCAGAGTTTATCTTTATCATAAAGCATAGTCAAACATGCAATCAAAAAATCATGCGAAAAATTTACAAATGAACAACTTAAATACACTTTGTAGTAAATAATCTTTTTCTCTTTTTATGTAAAATTGATCAATCAGAAAGCAGAATTATGTATAGTTATGATTTTTTAAAATTAACTTTGCCTATAGCTCTTCCAGCGTTACTGACGGTCCCAAGCCCGGGTAAAGGGGTGGGGTAGGCATGGGGTTAGCGACCCCATCCCGTAGAAAACTAACTTGCTAAAAAATAACGTTAACCAGAAATATGATTTTTCTAATTGGTACTTTATAGTATTATAATATTTTTGAATAAAATGCATTTCAAAATGTTACATCATTGATAATCTTTCCATTCACAATTTCTATTCTAACAGGGAATTGAAACTAGGGAAATCTAGAAGAACTACTTCATCATCAAATGTATTATGTACAGAGTATTTATCTGTTTAATTGGGATCAGTTGTTAACTAAACATTATTAGTATCGGATACTAATATCAGATGGGTTTTGTGGATATTATAGTAATTTCAATGGTTAAGATCATGAGTCAATTGAAGCTAGACCACCGTGGAAAACCTGGAAGCACAATGGGTCTAGTTTCAAGTGATTCATGATCTTAACCATTGAAAGAATACTAATATATCAATTTTTTGTTGAAAATTAAACAACATAAAATTGAGTATTTGATTTATAAGCAAAAATTTGTTAAGCTATTAGTTACCATAAGTTAAACATGCAAAATACAGTCAGACAATTTTTCTTAAGCTGTTTATTTGAATTCAGTCCGAAATAAAAACTATTTGAATTGTTATTGTAATATGAGATTATTAATTTATTAATATCTAAAGCACCAAAAATAAGCCATTTCAATAATACAGCTCATTTATAACCTCGAAATAATTAAACCTCTACTATATTTATTTATGTAGCCAATGCTAGAATATATTGAATCAATTTACTGAACATAAAACAACAACCCACCATACTAACATTACCTGTTATATCATAATTGTTAGCTACAACCAAAATGGGAATTTTTATAACAGATTAACCAAATTATTTGGAAATAAATATTGAATGAAAGGTTATTCATTCTAACCTAAGGAGGAAACTGTCAAGCACAAATACCTTTGTAAAAATCTTGATTTTCCTGAACTTTGAATAATCAGTGAGAAAGAATGGTGTACCTGTACTGATAAGCTTTACCTTTCAGTGAAGCTGAGTCAATCGAATCATTTAGTATTTGAGCTAAGTGTTTACAATCACATTGATTGATAATTAAAGTGATTATTCGGAAAATGATGTGCTAGCGAGTTATATAATCTAACATAATTATCTAAAGATACAACATTTCAAAACTTTAACATATTAACCTTTACAGAAGCCTAGAAATAATTGATTTCAACATTATTGTCCCCTTTATCAATACATAATACATTTCGTACACAATGTTTTGGTTAGCTGAATGAGATCCTCTCAAATCAGTTAACTGTTTATAAACAGCTGTTTAACGAATTCATGTATAAAAATCGCTACGAGATTAAACAAAAGCATTTCCCTATCGATAAAGCTACCAGTCTCTTGATTTCACTTTTTTCCTCTAATAAAATGAAGCAGCAAAACTATAACTACTATGACACACTCACTAGTTTAACATAAGATAATTTAGACTAAAATTGTTAATTTATTTTATTATGAACCCACACCAGTTTCTTAAGCTAGAGGACACTGGACAATTATTTGTCATAACTAAGAACTCCACAGTAGTTAGTAAGAAGTTAATTATACAACACTGAACCTATGAGTTTCAATATACTTTTGGAACACTGAGTTATAATCAAACGTTCCCGTTTATTCGCGACATTATTAGATTGTTATCCCATCCCATTAATGATATTCACCATACTTCCAACATGGCTGAACTCCATCAGTCACAGCTTCTCAGAAGAGTTTTGGGAACTCATCTCAAACCTAGTCACCCGCAAGCACATAGCATGTTCCGTCACAACCTACTTCACCTTAATACCTGTCAATGCTACAAAAACTTCATTATTCATCTGATGTGCCTGTACGAAATACGCGTGTTTGAGAAGTCAATAATATGACAATCATGTTTTCATGAGCCATTGCGAATAACTTAAATTTTATTTGACATTCAAATGATTTATAACTCATCAAACGTTTATTGCACTAACATTCTATGCATTCAGTCTACCTATCACATTTGTTCCTTTAATTTTATATTTTGAACGTTTATGATTATCCTTAATATATTTAGTTAATAACAAGTTCAAACTGGTTATGAAGTTGAAAATACAAATTTATTCAATATGCTACTTATTTGTTAAATGAATAGTATCTAAAGTGGTTTATTGTTAGTATAATTATTGTAACTTCGATCTATTTCTTAATGGACGTTCATATGTACCAATTCTTTATAAATAGTAATTCGAAAAGTATGTCATTGACTGAAAGCACATGGTAGTGTCGATTCTCAGTTGACTATGATCACCACTACAGATCGATTACGTGCCAATTACCAGGTTATATCCCTCCGTAGGATAAATATTAGAAGGACAATTGTAGATAGGATATATTTGTTGGTGATCTCGTGTTATCAAAATAATACCGAGATCGTGCCAAAGTTTACAGGCGAGACTAACGTGCGTACGTGAGTAAGTTTAAGGTCACAAACAACGGAAAAAGTGTGTTTTTGGTACAATTAAACAAAAAGGTACAGTAAAACAATCACTGGTACAGTTGGTTAGAATAATAAATTTCTCCATTACACCAATCGCGTTCCTTCATAAAAGTAGATTACTACAGGCACTTTGAGAGGTTATTTATCTACAGAATAACGACAGTACTTCTATGTAATATTACTAAATATAGCTATACTCATTGTGCCAGACAGTTCGTGATTTTAACTTAACTTTTATAATTAAATATTTACTTAGGTTTTATTGATTTCAGATTTTTTACACTATAGGGTTGTGGAGATTGTTGAATTTTAACTGATATCATATACCGACTAATGACAGATCATCACTGAAAACCTGAAAGAACTGGACAGTCACTTCTTCATAGTATGGGACTCCTCAACAGTGGTTGAAGTTAGAAATTAACACCGATAGATGCCAATGTTAATGCTCTCAAGGTTAGGCATTCGAAAGAAAGATCGAAGGTCCTGGGTTCTAGTCCCATGTGTGGGATTGTGGACATGCACTACTGAGAAGTCCTATACTAGTACGAAACAGTCATCCAATGGTTCTAGGATTTCAATAATGGACTAGGATTAATCTTTTTATGATCCCGATTAAAACTTAGATATTTTTGCCGAAATTAAATAAATTATAGTGTAAAGTTAAATTTTAGATTCCTTAGCTTCTAGTATTACTATACTCTCGCTTAAATCGAATCATTATAATAATTGATTAACATATGTTAAGTTTTTTTTTTAGAAAAAAACTGAATTCGTCGAGCTCCTGCCTGTTTAAATATATTTTAGAACATAAATTACTTGTAATTCTTATAATCTTTCGGTTATCATTGAGATATATTTAAGCAACTGTTTCAACTCCATTATATGTGATTGCTGTACATTGAAAATCACGTATCACTACCTATCAAATTACTATTTCCCACTTGGAAATTAATTAAGTTATGATATTTTTATTAAATACATAATAGTGAAGTAAATTTTCATTATGTTACAGATTAGTTCTATTCAAAATAATAAATACGATGAATACATTCTCTTTATTGATTTACCACATTTGATCAGGATTTATAGGAAAGCAGAATTATATAAATAATTAATGTAAACCAACCAACTTTATAAAACAATTACGTTTAATTAAATACAATATAATTCGGAATCATTACCAAGATCTAGTTTATAATCGGCCAGTCAGCTACAACATAGGACAATGGCCCATATATGCATCGGTCCAAGTTGCCATACCTCATTAACACAACAAGATGAACACCGGATTCATAGGAGTAGTTAATTCAGTGGTGGTAATATATAAAAGAAAGATTGCATATAAGGATGTAGTACAGGAAGAAAGAAAGATATGAAGCGATTCTAATCTCTTAGTTTAAGGGAAGACAGAGAGTGTATACACCGACGGCATTGTGATAGATTCTGAGCCATGTCACCAAGAGTCTCCAACCATTGGTTTATAATCAGTAATTACGAATTAGTATCAGAAAGATGCCGGATCAGTGGTCTAGTGGTTGAGCGTTCACGCGCGAGACTGATAGGTCCCGAGTTCGAATCTCTCAAAGCGGGGTCCTAGATGCGCACTGCTGAGGAGTCCCACAATAGGACAAAGCGGCCATCCAATGCTTCCAGCTTCTCCATGATGGTCTAGCTTCAATTGACTTATAATTTCAACTATTAAAATTATGAATTAAACTAATGAATTTGTATTTTAAAACTTCAATTAATTAAGAATAAAACCCATTCACTAATTAATAATATTTCTTAATGATGTAACAATAAGAAAATTGTAAAATCAACGTTTTATATCAGTTTAATTATGCCTTGACTGATAAACATTCTCAATAAAATAAAATTTATCGTACTTTTACATGACTAACTACATTGTATTTTGTGTGTAAATAGAGTAATCAGTAATAAAATGATAATTTAAAATAGTTAATATTATCACTTACCTCCCATACTTGATTGCGGTAATTGTTGTTCAAGGATTTTATATGATTTTGGTTGAACATTTTTAAATGTTGGACCACCATGTCGCCATAAATGTTCTTCAACTATTTCAGCACGTGGTTCAGGTGAATTTGAAGCGACATCAATTGGTCGATTAGAAGCAGCAATTTGTTGCATTGTTTGATTATATGCAACCACATTGAAATCACGTCTAAAATAAATAGAAAATTTATTAGTGATAACATTAAGTTCAGAATCAAGTATTTTTTAAGTATCATTTCTCTTCTTTTTTGTTTATGCTTTAAACAGTGTAAAGATGAGTAAATTTCCAAAATTTGGGATACTAAACAAACGGTTTTTAGATGAATGATGCGTTTTACCGTAAATTCACTTGATAGGTAGCTAAGAATTACACGGAATCATTTCTTGATATAGTGTAATTGAAGAAAAGACCAACAAATCGGCGTCTGAAAATATATCTCCCCATAAGTACATATATATCATTTGTATTACGTTTTATTCCCGCAAGATTATCCTATTGATTAATACTAATTATCATGGAACCTAAATTTGGGATGTCTTTCGTCTACCTACAATCATCTATTATCAAAACATAGTTTATGTAATATTGGATTATTTAGACTAGTGACCATACTACAACTTAATCGATAGAATATGATCAGCACTAAAGACTAGACAGACATGACAGTGCTCATTACTCAGTTACCAATTAATGTATTATAACACTTTTCTTACATAATTAGATTATTTTTCTGACAAAGGCTCAACAAAAGTTTCTGGAAAATGAATGACATTAAATTTCTTAACATAAACGGTGCTTTTTCTACCGTCCATTAATAGTAACCTGCCCTATTATGTGAAGTAATCAACGAAAACATTACTAATTTTGATTTAGATAATGTTCAATATCAGAATATATTGGTTAAGAGGATAAAAAAGTCACTCAGACAACAGATGAGTTGACTATCAATGTATTCTAAAACTATTTAAATTGAGTCATAAATTCAAGTTTTACTTTTGGTGCTAATAAGCAGAATAAATGCAAAATCAAGAGAATTATATTCATATCGAGGTTTAAACCTATCAAGTACATAGCTATGGTAAAGAACTGTACTGGTAAACTATTTAAACTACAACTTAAACGCATATCTATACCAGAGAATTTAAGGAATATTGTCTGATGTTGTAAAAAGTAAAAAATACGGTAAATAGATATGTCTGGAGCGTAAAACATCCCTTTTCCTCTACTAATGATATGTGAATAAAGTTCATCAGGTTGAGAAAAAGCTTTCTAAATGTTTATTAGCCAATGAAGTTATTTAACATTCAGAAAGTACTGTGAGTTACCTGAATGATTCTAGCTTCGTACTGTTCATGTCTTTAATACTAGAGGTTATTTTCACAGTATACAACTTATTATCGCTGTACAGTTTTATATATTTGAACTGATAAGTTTTCAATACATGTTTCGCTCAATTCAAGGGCTTATCTGGGAGTATTTCAACAATCAATACACTACTTATAGGTGGTCAGGATCCACGAAGTGATATGCAACCTAGTGATGGCTAATTAAATTACTTTGACATAGATGTAAAGTACCGGTGATAAATTTTGCGAACAGTTCTTATATGAATGTTTTAGTGACCGAATTTCTCTTCATAATAACACCTGGCAATAAGGAATCCTATTTTCATTCCGGAATAATACTTATTACTAAGTTATTTAACTGCAAATCAATAAATGACTTTTTCATAGCAGTGACTGTTTTAAAGATCCGAAAATAATGCTCACTAAAAATGTAATCGCCCCCAAATGCCCTGATACGACAGAGGGTGAGAAGAGTCAGCTCTCCCTCTCAAATACTCTCACATGGCCACGCGTATACAGCCAATTTCAGGGAAATCCTACTCACTGCGTTTTCGTGACGGGGGTGTTGTTCACGAAATTGCGAGGACGAAAAGTGAATGTCCGACGCTTTAACCGGGTTGGTGGACATGAAGGATTCACCCTGATTCCAAATCAATGGTGCACATGGGCTCCAGGATCCTGAGGAAACAAAAGCCATATGAACCCATTGTTGGTCACTGGCTACCATAGGACTGCATATCCTGACGTTGCTTCACTGCTTTGTGGATCAGATCTTTAGGTCGAAGGCTCCGGGTGTGGCCCCTTGGAGAACTACCTGCTGTGGTTTGGGCACCCGGGCAGTATCACAGCCCGCACACAAATCAAGTGACTTTTGGGGCGTTTATCTATTTGGTGCCGCCTTGTATCAATATTTGTGTTCAAATAAAATAAAATAAAATTGAAATGTATTCAGGATTTGGTTAAATAAATCTATTAACTGACTTCAGTTGATTAAATACTATAAAACTAACCACAATTAATAAACCATCATTAACATTGAATATTGGACAACATAAATTTCATTAATCACATTTTAATTATCACTTATCCAACAACGTTGAAAAATATGATTCAAATAAAATGTTAACTTACTTTTTAACCATAAAATCTAAATCGTTACCAGCTCTTAAAATTTCAGCTTTCACTTGGGCATGTATCATCCCAGTGATCGGAGTTGCGCATATTTTCAATATTACATCTCCAGGTTCAAGTCCAGACTTATGAGCTATTCCATTACGTGTAACCTAAGCACAAAAGTAGTATAGTATTAAAGACATTTGTATCAGTGATCATAAATACATATTCTGTGGTCATGATGAGACAACATTAGTAAAAAATAAACCTAATAAAATTTTATAAACTAATTTTCTCAAATTATCAAAATAACATTCAAGCGCTTTCAGTAAACTCAGTTTGTTGATGTTTTCGTTGAGTAGTTTTCTAAAGTATTTTCACTTCCTGTGTTAGAAATGGTTCTGTAAAGTAATACATTTCATATAATGAACGTGACTTACGATACTGTTTGTAAGTAGTAGAGACTAACCTAATTATTTTAATACATTTCATCGTCACCCGAAAATGACAAATTGACTTAAGACGAAGATAAGCTGTTCCTTGTACGGGATTTTATGTGTAGAGTGTTTAAAAAAGCTTCTCTCAAAGATCCCAAAATGTAAATTTCGACTAAATTCTGTATTGCTAGTGACTAACTTTGAGTTATGATTCCAAGGGTTCTGTTGAGAAGTCTTAACTACTAAGACTCTGTCGGGTGTGAGACAATTATTCATCACAGGTGGTGAAATATATTCGGGGAATATCACGAAATGAATGAAATCAAAAATGTAGGCCATTCAATGTGGGTTAATCTTCTGCAGGCCAAGTGCTTGCTGGTAGATCAAAGGTGCTGAGTTTGATACGTTGTTGTAAATTCATGAATGCTCACTACTGAGGAATCCCATACTAAAACGAAACAACTATCCAATCCTTCATGGGGCTGGGATCAGTCTGTGGTGTAAACTAAAAGATGTTATTATTCGAAATATACTGGCGAGGTTTCGATATAACAAGTTCGGGGAAATCTTTATAAAATATGAGCCCAAAATCATTAATTTGTTTACCAAAACATGCGCCATTCACAAGTTTAGAATAAATGTTTAGTCGTGTTTATTTAGAGTTCTTGAAACATGAAGTTTATGAAGTAATGTTTATTATGATGCGAAATTTTCCAATGAACTGAATTATTAGAAAGCTGTTTGTAGTTAGAAATAAAGTTTACACTTTGTATTAACATAGTTTTGACGATTCATAAATGGTCGAACAATCATGTCTCTCATTGTTTTAATCTTTCTACTTTAAAATGTGTTAAGTCTCTTATTTCTATTATAATATTTATTACCAGTCATATTTCATATCAAGTTAAGTTTAATAATGGATGCGCAGTGCTGAGGAGTCCCACAACAGGACGAAACGGCCATCCAGTGCTTCCAGGTTTTCCATGGTGGTCTAGTTTCAATTGACTCATGATCTCAACTATTGAAATTATAGAAAATCGTTTTTTAAATCACAAATAATTGTCAACACGTGACCTGATGATTTTGGATCTAGTCTTGTCATAAATATTGGACAAGTACTGTTTATATCAATGCATGTAGTTGGTTTTGAGCATGAATTCAACTGAAAAAACGTTTGCGATTTGGATAAAAGATAGAAAATATAACACCATAGAATTTTTATAAGCTTTTCATTCAAACCAATTTTCGAAGCTGAATTAAGTGATGTCTAGTTTTTATTGTACAAGATCTTTTTATAAGTTGACAAACGTTAGAGTATTTTATCACTTCTTTTAAGTTAATCAGTAGGTTTGAAAACAGGAAATACTAGTATAGATTGAGGTGTGTATAGAATTCATGAGTGAAACTTTATGTCGGCCATACACATGCGAGTAAATTTTCTAATTTAGAAAGACTATTTTGACTGCTTCGACTGGGACAATGTTGAGATCTTGGATAAAAAGAATTCTAAAATCACCAGAGAATTTTTAGAAGCTTGGGACTCAGGTCAACCAGTAATCAACAAACACATTGAAACCGATCCAATCTATCAACCAATCGGGAAAATTATGGACAAATCCAGGACCAAGAATCAAATTAATGGGGATACAGTCAAAATAAAGAATTACATAATGGCAGGTTAAGGGTCGACAATAACTGATCAAGATCGAGGAGTCATATGAAGAGAAATTCAAAAACTTTACATCTACGTGAAGTTTGTGCTGATGATGTTCAAAAGAACGATGAAAGCTCCATGACAAAAGCTTGGAGAACAAAGCTCCACCTAAGCTACAAATCTTAGTTAATAACAGGTAGATTAAAGAAATTTGCGTATCAATAATTAGTTTAAACATGGAAAATTATTATTTAATAAATCAATTTATTTACCAATCACTAAATTTAGATGACTGAATTATCTTCAAATGATTAGGCCACTAAGCTTTATTAACCGAAGTAGTTTAAACGTATACCTCATGACCAAAGACACTATTAATTCGATTTTGAGCATATAAGTTCTTGTCTCAGAAAAAAACAACTACTATAGACAGGTGCAACTACTGACATGCTTAGCCTTAAACCAGATATAGTAGTTACAGTTTATCCAGTTGGATGTTTGCGGCTCTGAAAAACGATAATACTTTAAACATTCAACTTCGTTTTCAAACTTGCATTTTGTATTGCTTTCTTTAGAGTTATTTATTAAAATCTCTCATGACTTTTTTTTGCATTCTTCCTGATTTGTTCTTATTTTGATGTTAAGTTGAGGAATTTAAGTCAGTCCAAATACTTTACTGTCAGGTACTAATTCCTGTTCTATATAGAACCGTCCTTGACTTGCTTGTACAATTCAACACTACCTCAGATGTACAGGAAGCATTTTCTCTACACATCATTCGATTAATCTAAGTTTAATGGAACAGTTTAAGTTAACTCTTAAGTTTGTCACAAGATTTTAATTGATGAAAAATTCCCATTATATTAAAAACACAATTGTATGAACGAAGAATATTCTTTTCAATAATATTCTCTCTCTCTCTCTCTTACCCCATGTTGACCATATTTATTCTGATAATTTATCTCACAATTTCATTTCGCTTATAAACTGATTCAAATTAACACTTCATATTAGTCAGCCCCAACATTAACGATTTTATTTTATATAACAAACAATTCCTGATTCACATATTACAATCTCCAAATGATGATATATTTTGCCTTAAATCTGGCCAATTTTATGGATTATTAATCTGGATTTATAATTGTAGAACCTGATGAGAAATTATTGAAAAAAATATTCTTCGTTCATACAATTGTGTTCTTAAGTTTGTTTTATTGAGATCATAAACCGATTGATGTTAGACCACCATTGAAAACCTGGAAGCACTGGACGGCCGTTTCGTCCTATTGTGGGACTCCTCAGCAGTGCGCATCTACGATCCAGGTTTTCAATGGTGGTCTAGCATCAACCGGTTCATGATCTCAACCAAAAAAACTTAACAATCTCCACAACCCCTAAACTGACAACTTTTAAGTGACAGATCAATGTTTATTTTCTTTTCATAGAAGAAAATTTCTCATCGGCTTATTACACGCTGATTATTATTCAATAATCAGCCTCCTCTTACTTTGTAGAATATCACAGCATATTATAAAAAAATATGTAATGCATGGTTTGTAAATTTATAACAATAATTTACTTTAAGTTTGGGGTTGTGGAGACTGTTTAATTTCACTGAAATCATGAGCCAATCCAAGTTAGACCACTATTAAAACCTAGAAGCACACCACGGCCGTTTCATCCTAGTAAAGGATTCCTCAGCAGTGCTCGTCCATGATCCCGCCCGCAAGATCCGAACCAAACACCTTCGGTCTCTTGCGAATGCTTGAACTGTAGACCACTGATACACCGGCATTCAGTGGTGTTGATGTCTAACTTTAACTAATATACGATGTCGCTTGGCCATCTTTCATTGTCTTCAATGGATAACTGCCTCACACCGGATACGACTCAGTGGTCTGAAGTTTAAGCGTTCTCACGAGACCGAAGATATTAGGTTCGAATCTCGGGTGTGGGATCGCGGATGCGCACTGCTGAGGGAGCCCACACTAGAATGAAACGGCCATTCAGTATTTTTAGGTTTTTAATGGCGGTCTAGGATTGATCGCTTCATGACTTCGGTGAGATTATTTATTTCTTGTTATTGAGCGAACATTAATTATTATTTTGGCTGAAAATATGTATATCCCTTCTTATGAAAATACTCTATCATTGGAAAAGTAACTGTTGGTAAATATATAGTTAAGAACTTTTTGAGATATACTAATTCTCGTGGCGGGGTGTTGTTTACGAAAATGAGAGGACGAAAAGCGAATGTCCGGATCCCAAACCAATGGTGCACATGGGCTCCAGTATCCTGCGGGAACAAATGGCGTATGAACCAATCGTTGGTCACCGGCTACCATGGGAATGCATCTCTTCACGATGCTCCACTGCTTTGTGGGTTGGGCCCCTAGGTCAAAGGCTCGAGGTGTGGCCCCCTAAGAAAACCACCTGTTTCGGTCTGGGCATCCGGGCAGTATCACAGCCCATACACAAATATAATGATAATGAAAATATGTGGCGCATACATATTTGGTGCCCTCTTGTACCAATATTTATGTGTTCAAATAAAACAAATAAAATAAAATACTTATACTATATATCAAAAGTAAAAAAACTTCATAACTGTGAAACATATAAAACTTAAAGTATTTGTGTTGTTAAGACTATTTTCGTAGAAATAATTCTGTATGAAATAAAATTTTAAAGTACTTCTTAGATAGTATTTGCTATAAACAATCCTAGAACATAAAGTTCTATCATAGGTGTATATTTTTTCAACGATAATATATTGTTTACAGTTTGTACGTGGTTAGTTCTTCTGTTATTCACTTCGCTTATATTCGAATGTAGTTAATATCACTAAATCCACTTTTGTTGATAAATAAACGTAAGTAATTAGATATACAAGAGAAGGGGAAATCATATCAATAATTCTGATAGTTGTCAATTTACTGCACCGTGAAAATATTCACATAGTTATCAATCAACTCACCAGATAATCATTCACTTATTCTACATGTAACCAATTTACTGGAAGATTACGTTTAATACATAAATCAATGATTGAATAAAGTGATAGGAAAGAAGTGAA